ACAGTATATTCTGTGAAGCGCTTTGAGACGTCTCGAAGACGTGAAAAGGCGCTGTATCAAATGCAAGGATTATTATTATATCTATCTAACGTCATTGTGGATCATACACATTGGTGTATGGCAGAGTGCTGCTGTTTGTATTTTGGGTTTGTCAAGTATCCTGACTTCAAAGTATCACAACATAGGTTGTGCCACATTTGGGAGGCTGTTTTGAAAAATTGTCTTCAAATTACTAGAATCAATCATAAAACGTAAAGCATGGAAAGAGACCATTCGGACCATCAAAACTCATCTGGTGCTGATTCATTCACTAGAGTGAACTACACTATTCCCAATTTCCCACTGTTTCATTTGGATGAGAATTTTACTCTCGAGTTCTGCTTTCATCCGTCAATAGCTGGAACTAATTATTTGGACTTTGACAAACGACTTCAGGTTTGGGTGCAATTCTATCACAAATTCAGTGAAGGTGGCATTTTATTGGCACCGGGAAATGAACACATCAGTGGATTGTTTTGGACTTTTTGCACTATAGAAATGGTTGGGTCTGAGTTTGTGCCCATCATGAATCCATGTAATGAGTTGCAGTCCTTGAATTAATCTTTAGAGAGTACCAGTAAGTAGAGACATTGCTCTGCATCTTTAGTGAGAACAAGGAAAAGGTCAGAAGATACACTCCTTAGAGCTGCTCTTGTGAAACCTCCAAAAGGGGCCTTATAAATAAATGAGTCTACTAAAGAGGGGCCATTACAATCAGAAAAGCTATTGTGACAAAAAGGAACAACTTGCTAAATGTTAATTATAGCTTTCTGCTGGCAAAGGACTTAAAGGACACCTAAGAGAAAAATTCCCACTCACAGCAGCAATTAGAATTGTGCTGTGATAAAGTATAGAGTACTGCACAAGCCCACAGACTGAATACCAGAGATTATTAGCATTGATTTAAGTAAATGGAGAATTCAACACTGAATAATCTGATAGTGTAGAACAAAGACACTAGTTATTTTGTTCTGTGATAGCTCATCAACACAGAGTGTGGCAGGATTTATATTAATTTGCAACTGCTTATTAAAGATGAGGAATATTCATACATTTGCTTCTTGTTACCGCCCAAGTGATCTCACCACAATAAATACAACAACAGAAACTTACACTTACATAGCGCCCTCCACGCAGGGTAGTGTCTCAGATCGCTTAACTGTGGTGGAGCCTGACTCCGAGCCAGGGTGTGGAGGGGAGGTGGCTGTAAGCACGGTCGAAGAGGAACGTTTGCAGGATTTGAGAGAGGGGGCAAGGCGGAGGGTTTGAGGGGGAGTGTTCCAGAGTTTATTGGTAACATTAGCAATTCTTTATAGAAACGTAACCACTTTACAAATTATAATGCTTCTCATTTATCACAAAGATAGCTTGCTTAAATAAAATGTACATCATCAAAACATGAATCTAGTGCATTTTGATACCAAGCCAAAAAAAAAACAATATACATTTTAAGCTTTATTTAGCAGCTAATCTAACTGGCAAGTTTCTTGCCTGATTTTATAAGTTGTAAAGCTCTCTACACCAACAATACACATTAACGTTGTCACTCAAGTCGCTCACTTACACAAAGCAAAGCACAGAGACACATGCCTAGATATTTAGGGGTTAAGTGAAAATGTACAGGTATGTATACACTCTAAACCAAGAGATAGATCAAACTTTTTTTCTTCGTGATAAACCATAGAATGGTAGCTTTATACTTCCAATGCGGTAATGCCAATGCTATGCTTCTCTGTAAATTTTCTCTACATAACTACAGGACTTATTTTTAGTTGGTGATTGGTCACCAACATTTAAGATGATTGCGAAAACAAATTTTAGGGACTAACACACAGGTGTAAGTGAATTACAAGCAACTAATCTAATGGAGGATGTTGTACGATTTTGCTTTGTATGAACTCTGATTTACTTTACTTACGCTGTTGTATTGTTGAAGATTTTCGTGACAATGACGGTGTATTGCTGATTTCCATTTCAAAATGATACATGAAAAATTCTGGATTTGCAATGCTGGAAACACAGTACTACCGCATAATTTCTGATGGTAAATGATGTGGAAGTGTCACCACATTGCATGTTTTACTTAGGAGATAATTCTGATGACTGGGTGATATGAAAGATTAATAACTGCAAAAGTACCCTACAGTTATAAAAAGCAATGTTCTCCACTGTGTTACCAGCAGTGCAATAAAATTCTTATCTAACTTAAATCCCACAATGTTCAACACATCAACTTGTATTACATTCCTGTGAATCCTGACCAAAATATTATAGTCAGATATCATTGTATTTGATTTATTCCATGGGTAACTCCATTTACATGTATTCCAGAACGATAACTGTGCAGCAAATGATAATAGTGGCAGGCAGCTATATTTTAATGCGTTCCCATGGAATAAATACTTTCTAAAGACTAAAAAGATTCAGTCAGACGCCATTGATCTCAAGTTTGTTTTTAACAGGGAAACAACCAGTTGGGTTGGAATATACCAGCATAAAGTGAAACATCCCACGCTTAATACAAATTTGTACATTTTTGTTGATCAATCTATATTAAACTGAAATACACAGTGAGGAATACAATTATAGTATTAATATAGGCGTAAAACTAAGTTTTAAGAGCTAAGACCATTGCTACCTTATACTGTACACAAGTTTTAAGCTTTAGCACATGATACTCTTTTGACAATCACATGACATCGTAAAGAGAACTCCAGCACTATTTCTGCACCAAAATCAAAAACTTCTATTACAAAATTACTTTTAAAAAGAACCTTCAAACTTCAAGCATATTGAGAATTGGTTCCACATACTTCACTCACAGAACCTAATATTATTCACAAGGAACGTACAAAATAACACCATTCTCAAAGGCACAGTTTGAAGGAAAATATTCATACTTTGAGGGTTGAAAAGTGTTTTCACTATCTCTGAGTCACACATCACTGCCACCAAACCACTGCCAGTAAGAGGTTGCTGTACTTTATTTTGTAACTACAGTATAAATTATATAATTGCCTAAGTCATATATCTGCTCAAGTCCCATTAAATTTCCTATTATTTATAAGGTTCATATAACTCATGCTTCACATAAGTCATATGAAATGTACGGTTCAACTGATACAACTTATGTGACTGTAGTTCCAGCCTGTTTACTTCCTCCCTGCTATAGAAGTTTGGGAAAGCCCGTTCTGACCTACACATCCATTGGAGTTCATTTTTAAATACTTCATTTAATAAAAAGACTGTTCTCATTTCAAAACCATGTGTCAAAAACTACAGTGATGAATTGAGTTGTGGTGACAGGGAGCTGTTTGAATTAATGCTAATTGTGATCATTAGCTCCATGAATCGAAAGAGATGACAATTTTCTGGGCTGAAATATAACCCAGTTGTTCAAAGCAATGAAAGAATGCAATACAAATTTACATTTATATAGCGCCTTTAAAGTCGGGAGAACGAGGCTTGATAATTTCATTGCACCAATGTGTGTTTGCAAATGTCTTCTTCATTTCCGAGCTAAGTGTGTGTTCTGTCAATAGTTTACGTAATTGTGATTCATCTTTGCTCGGCATGGCTTATAATGGTTAAAATGTAAAACATTTTACGAGAATGCATAATGCAAGGATTATTATTAAGCATTGAAGAGCGTGTTTGGCGGCATATTCTGAATGCTGTACACATATCTGAGGGAGAACACATGTCCTCCCTATGTGCTAGGACTCCAGATCTCTGATTTATAGGGCATAAGTCTTCACATAAACTCCAGATTCTTAGCAATTTGGCACTGGTGGGGCAAGCGACTTTGAACACAAAACTGCAAAAGGAAAGCTTCACCTAAAGTAAATAAAACCGCTGATTTAAGAGTGCCCTGTATGATTAATTAACGGTGTTCAGTTCACTGCATATCATCAGTTTGCATGAATAACTAGACACAAGAGATTCCTGTTTAATATGTGAAATTAATGCACTGAATATATATTATATATGGGATCTGAAGTGATTTGTGAAAACACTCTTCCTGAAAAAGGGGCACACTAGGATTATCACATTAGGATAATTTTTTAATTGAATTGTCTAACTCTGAATCTCCCTGCCCTAAAAATTTTAGTTTTGCAAATGATTTGTATTCCTGATAGCTGCAAGAGAAAAAAAGAGTTGTACTGTTTTTACTATATTGGCTGTAACCAACCACACAAAACTGTTCTAACAATTAGAGAACAGATTTATAAGGATGGTTCCAGCCAACACCATCCTGGTTAATTATTCTAATCCGTGTTATCAATTGTGTTTTCCAACCAGGACTTCATTTGATACACTAATCCAGTAATAAAACCACACGATAAATCAATACATACAGATAAAGATCGAGTTCCGACTTTTATAGACACAGGTTAATTACAACAGTGTTCATTTGGTGAATATCAAATGCAAGGATTATTATTATAATACATAAAGGTTCCAGTTCATGGAAAACCTGGGATATCTTCTGATATCAAAGACCAGCGGCACACCAGTGCTCGCATCCAAGAACATTGAACAAACTAACGTTAATCCTGCACATTGAGTCTTCACTCAATGACGCATCCAGGTTCCATTTTTTTTTCGGTCTTTCCTTCCCAATAAAGCCACGACAACTGACTCTACATAGGAAGGTGGTGCTGAAAGCTTTTCCCTGTAAAATGAGGAAACTAGGATTTGCCTGTGAATGTGTTGTTAGGTGAATTTTAATACAGAGCGCAATTTAGTGATGTAGTCCAGTTCTTCTTATACATTGGACACTGGAACCACTGTACTTATTCACATTGTGTTGCATTAAAAGCATTTGGTATTTAGAATTATCTGCACAGATGTGTGATTTGATGTGACTTTACTTCCTAATTAAAGTTCAGCTTTATGCACAATATTTACAATGTGGGGGGGTGCAAAACAACAACAACAGATTACATTTGTATAACGCCTTTCACGTCAAGAGGACATTCCAAGGCTCTGGTCAGTCAGGGATTTGGAGCTCCTGTGTGTTCATATAATGGGTGACCTTGTGTTGCAATAGTTCATTATTATAACCGTATGATCTTTGCAAAATCATAACCCATTCTCAAGCCAAGGAGTATATACTTATTCTAACTCCATTCATTCAGGGCTCAACAGGACCCTTCTCCCAAACCAGGTTGGAAGTATTAGGTGTGACTGCAGAGAGCGCTGAGATATCATGTTGCTTGCTGAAGGGGGAGGGGGAGAACTGAATGAGTGACTCCATTCAAATACTGGTTTGGAGATCGTCCCCATTCAAGAGAGTTCGTTGGGTGTCTGTCACGTCTTGAAGCCGAGACTTGTCTTGCCTGCTGTCGCTGCGCTCTACCTCGTCGAAGCCAGCAACTTTTTTCAAACAAAGTACATTCTGAAAACTTTTCTTGAAATTGTCAGACAGGAAGGCGTAGAGGATGGGGTTGGCACAACTATTGGCGTAGGAGAGGATTACCACAAACTCGAAGATCCCCTTCATACCCCTGGTGAGTCTGAAGGACCGCGAGAGAGACACAAAGTTGATAATGTAGATTGGCAACCAGCAGAAGACAAAGACCACCACCACGATGGACACCATTTTGGTGACTTTCTTCTCTGACTTCTTGCGCTTGGAGGAGCCCACGCGAATTCCCGAAGCCTTCACCTTAACGATGATCATGAGGTAACAGAAGCAGATGATAGTCAAAGGCAGGAAAAAACCCAAGACAAAAGTGTAGATGATAAAAGCCACATTCCAGGCCTGGTTGGTACTTGGCCAGATGATGTTACAGCTGCCCTTTCCTTCGGAGGGCTGTATTCCGGAGTAGATCATGATGGGAAGGATGACCAACAGCGAGAGTATCCAAACTGCCCCGTTGATCAACTTGGCGACGTGTGGTTTGCGCCATTTAGACGACTTGATGGGATGGACCACGGCCAGAAACCTGTCGATGCTCATCACGGTCAGACAGAAAATACTGGTGAACTGATTGATGCCGTCCACAGTCATCTGGACCCTGCAGGTTGCCTGGCCGAAGGGCCAATAGGCCTTGGCCACTTGGATTGCCATGAAGGGCAGCCCCAACATGAAGAGTTCATCTGCTATGGCCAAGTTGAGGATGTAGATGTTCGTCACCGTCTTCATTTTGGCGTAGCGCAAGATGACATAGATGACTAAGGTGTTGCCGCTGAGTCCCACGACGCACACCACAAAATAGATAAAAGGGATGAACACACTGCCGCTCATGTCGTCAGGAGACCCAGTGGTGTTTTTGGAAGCATTGGAGAAAAGCTCTGTCGAGAAGTTGCCTCCTTCGTATGTGGCCAAAGCCCAATCGGCCGCTGTGGTGAACTGGAATGAGTTGTCCAACGCCATCTTATTTATTACTTTTTGGAACGATCCTCTTTTACACTTACTGACTGACCATTCTAAACCAACCTGAAGCAAAAGACAGTCTCAGTCATCAACTCATCACACACTATCGCACCCTATTTTATTGTTAGAATACCAATAATCCTTGCACTTGATATAGCGTCTTATCACATTGTTGAGCTGTCTCGAAGGCTTCACACAATATTACTGTAAAGTGAATTTATTCTATATTGTGGAGTCCTGTAGCTCACTGGTTAGAGCACTCGCTTTGCAAGCGAGAGACCTGAGTTCAATTCCAGGCAGGTCAGGGCGAAACCTTGGGCAAGTTTCCTTACTCCACACAGAGCCTAATAATAATCCCTCCAAAACCAAAAACAATAATAAATTGGTCATTTTCAATCTACGACTGTTTGTGGGACATTGCTGTGTGCAATTGGCTGCCGCGTTCGCCCACAAATATACAGTCAATTCACTTTACAGTGTGTTCTGTGAAGCGCTTTGGGACGTCCTCCCGACGTGAAAAGCGCTATATCAAATGCAAGGATTATTATTATTATTATTTTGTTGGGGTAAACGCGGCACGCAATTGCACACAGATGTGTCCCACAAACAGTCGTGGATTGAGTGACCAAATTATTATTGTTGTTTTTTGAACAGATTACTACTCCTGAAAAGCAAACAAATGTTAGAAACGAATAGTTATTTCAAAAGACTCAACCCAACACCCCCAAACCGCAGCACAGATTCCAACCGTACATTTTTTACGGCTCCTTTTGCTGACGAGGGGCTTGGTTGAGAGTTGCGCAGGGACTTGATTTAAGGTTCTACCAGTTCTCTGGTCTCACCCACAAAATATACAGTCAATTCACTTTACAGTATTATCTGTGAAGCGCCTTGAGATATCGACTCAAATGCAAGGATAATAATAATTTGTATTATCTTTTATGAACTCGAGGTTTTCCATACAGAGATCATTCAGATGATCATTTCATCCACACACAAAACATACAGTCAATTCACTTTCCAGTATATTGTGTGAAGCGCTTTGAGATGTCTCGAAGACGTGATAAGGTGCTGGATCAAAATGCAAGGATTATTATTTTGTTATTAGATACAGAGCGATCCACCAACAAGTTAACTTGTGAGACAGTGCTAATCAGATCAAGAATAGAATAATGAATATAGGAAATACCTTTGGCAACTCGGAACAGGAGAAACCCGACTTCAAATGCGGTGTGGCGCAGCAATAAATACTGAGGAACTTTTTAAAAATATATGTTCAGTATTAATGAAGCGAACAGCATGACTTTTTGCCGGGAGGAGGGCAGAAATTTGTTTGACCACAGGAGTATATCTGAGACAAACTCTTCTGCACTCCCCTCCCCTACATCTATACAAAACACACCCTTAGTCGAAGGAAGAATCAACTTTCTTAAAAGGCGAAATTCCGCTCCGAGTTGAAAAGCGAGCAAGACTCTCAACAGCGCAAAGCTTACGAGATCCAACATAGCTCTTCCAATACTGTACATATATCTTTCATCTGCTTTTTTTTTTAACATTACAAAAAAAAACTCAGGTGGTAGAACTGCTTGATACACCCGAGGAGCATACGGCAAACATTGGCGTGGGTCGGGATATGTTTTACAGGTCGATTTTAATGGCAAGTTATTTGCAAGAGAATAACCCACCACGCACACACATACATACACGCACACACACCTGTGGAATCCGTGTCAGACCCAGATCAGTGGAAGAACAGGAGAGGGGGCAAACGATTCTGTTTCACATGCACATACACCAGTGATATTTAAGTCTAGATTCCAAGCTATGAAGATCCCGACCACTCGCTCAATAAACCTAACGATAGAGGGAGAAAATAATTTAGGATTTTAACCAGGACTTGGTCAAACACTGTCTGTAATCCCCTTTTTAACCATAGTAAACCACAATAGCATTTAACCCTTTAAATCCCCCCCACTCCCACTACCACCACTACCACCTTCCTTTTTTTTCAATGTAAAACATTTTTTTTTGTGTGGGGGGGGGGGGGGGGGGGAAGAAAAAGAAAAGATAAGGTTGATTTAAATGGCTAAACTCAAACCGGTCCAATGCTGTGTAAAAAGCACTTGACTTACCTCTCTGGAAGCGAAGTGTGGGAGTCAGAAAGCAGCCAATGAACCAAACGCCAGTGACTTTCTTTTGGGAGGTTGAGATGGTCAGAAAAGAATAACCAGATCACAATCGCCATGGGTTTCAAATTCACACCGAGGTCTTTTTTTTTGGGGTGGGGGAATGGAAAAAAAATGCAGTCTAGTCTTTTTTTAACCTTCTTTCTCTGCCTCCCCAACCTGGAATCAATTGAGAGGAGGAGGAGGAGGGGTGAGGTGGTGAAAGGATGAAAGAGGAGAGAGACCCTGATAGACAATTATTTTTAAAAAAAAAGATTTCTCATCACTTTTTGTTTTGTTTTGCTCTCCAAAAACCCTCTCTCTTTGCATCACACACACACACACACTGTACACCCCCTGTACACCCCCCACCACCACCACCCCAAAAAAAATAAAGAGACTATCGTTGCAGAAGTTACAGAGCAAAGCCTCTGCAATGAGAAAGGAGGCTTTTTTTTGGGGGGGGGGGGGGGGGGGGGGGTGGAGTGGGGGGTTAAAAAGAAGGTGGAAAAAGACTTTCAGCCCTGAAACAGCGAAGGGCAGAAGAAAAGACGTGGATTTTTGCGATCAGGGCTATTTTTTTTGTTGGGGAGGGGGTGTTGGGAGGAGGGGATGAAGCAGCCTCGAATGTTGCACACACGATGGAGCCAAAGCGATGGCTGTGACAGATCCTCAGCTGTTGTTAAATATCTGCGACGTTTCTAACGTATCCCTTACGTCAGGTTCCACACAGAGAGAGAGAGAGGGAGGGAGGGAGGAGGGAGGGAGGGAATGAGAGAGAGAAAGAGAGAAAGAAAGAAAGAGAGAGAGAGAGAGAGAGGTACAGAGGCAACTGGTCAGTTACTCCGCAAATCACTGCAACTGAGAGCAGATCAGCTTTGCAAACAGTGAGAAATCCACAGAGAAATACCATCGTTTCCATTATATATATACACACACACACACACACATATATATATATATGCACTTCTATATATATATACATATACATATACATATGTATTCTTATATCAATGCCACAAATGCAACGATTATTGTCGTTGGTGTTCGTTATTACTGTTGGTATTTCTGTCGGTGCATAAGACAAAACACATGGGATTTATTTGTCCACCTTTTCCTGTTCGTGCAATGAAATAATTACCCCCTCGGCTGCCGATTCTTACCCCCCGGGTACTGTCCAGCACATTCAAACCCGGGTTCAGTGGCTCAAAACCATTTCAAAGGCGTAATGATTGATTGATTGATTGATTGATTGATTGATTGATTGATTGATTGATTGATTGATTGATTGATTAAATGAACACTTAGGTATGTGCTGCCTGTGACTGGGAGAGGGCACCGTCTGCTGATGCATTGGCAGTGGTCGGTGTTCCCATTGTCACTTCGATATATTTTGTTCCCAAACGTTAAGAGTTCAGGAAAATGAGCTTCGAAATATTAAATTAAATCACAATCCATTGATGGCCACTGAGCAGATCTGTTTCTGTTAAAACCCACGGGGGGGGGGGGGGGGGGGAGCGATTGGGGGCACTGTTTGGCTCATTTAAGTGTCTTTGAGAGGAGGAATAGTTCTCTCCCTCTATCCTCACCCCCTCACACCCCCCAAAAAAAAAATCTTGATGCAAATGAATCCAAAAATGTCACTTCATCACCAAAAAAAAAGCAAGTGATGGTGGTAGAGATATCACCTCGTTTGCGCCACCTGCGCTTGAAACACTGCATAAAAGTGGAGTTCTATTGCTTTACCAAATAAAAAATAAAAATAAAAATAATAATAAAAATAAAAATAAAAATAAAAATAATAATAATAATAATAATAATAGTGGGGAGAAAATAATACACCCGAGGGGGAGAGGCAGAGGTTTAATGGTTACTTTGGGGGCAGTGGTTTCAAGTGGGTGGAGGAGTTTTGCTGTGATATTTAGGTGCAGGAGATTAAAGAATGGACACACACACACATATATAATATATATATATATATCTTTTGTGTGTGTGTATATATATATACACATAAAGGATCCATCTCTGTGGCCAGAGTCGTGAAGAACAAGGAGATAAATCCTTTGGGGATATATTTTTTTCTCTCGAGAAATTAGCTTAGGTTTCTTTTTCTCTTTCTTTCTCTCTTTCTTTCTTTCTCTCTCTCTTTCTTTCTTTCTTTCTTTCTTTCTTTCTTTCTTTCTCTCTCTCCCTCTCTCTTACTGCACGTCAGACCAGAGGGGCAAACCTGAGAGAGGTAAAGACAACCGCTGGAAAGATGATGGGAAGCAAAATCGGGTGGTGCTGCGATATGGATTTTTTAAAATTATTTTTTAAATTAAATTGAAATAATTGATCTGGAAAAATTTTTTTTTTTTTTTTGGAGGGGGGGGATTCTGTTGAATGCAATTGCATTGCCTTAAGCCAAGTAATATACAAAGCGTCTCAGGTACACAACAGCAGGGATTCATACCAATGTTATTAAGCAAACAATTACTTTGGGGAGGTGGGAGGTGGTTGCAAAATCCTTCGTGATATCATTATTGCCACTCAGTGCAATTCACTGACTTCAGTTGCCAGTCTCGTAAGCAGTGGGTATTTCCTTAAGTACACAACAGTGTCCTAATTATTAACTATATTAAGCCCTCGGAATTGTCAGCCAGTAGTGAACTGCCTAACGTCCTCCAACCATAATATTTGATCTTAATTTTGCTTTAAAGGGGCCACCTGTAACCACTGCTCAAGGATAAGGTAATACAGTACTTATTTAGCCATGGATTCAACTTAACGGGTGCTTAGAACTTAGAAAAATATTAAATAAAAATAATTTCGTCACTTAATCCACGACTGTTTGTG